GTGAGGACAGTGGTGGGACAGTAGTACTGTGGGGAAAGTGGTGGGGACAGTGGGGACAGTGGGACAGTGATGGGGACAGTGGGAACGGTGGGACAGCACAGTGGGACAGCGGCGGGGACAGTGGGGCAGTGGTGGGTACAGTGGGGACAGTGGGACAGTGGTGGGGACCGTGGGGAAAGTGGAAAGAGCAGGACCGTGGTGGGACAATGGTGGGGAGAGTGGGGACAGTGAGACACTGGTGGGGGCACTGGTGGGGACAGCGGGGACAATGGTGGGAACAGTGGGGACAGTGGGACAGTGGTGGGGATGGTGGTGGTGGGGACAGTGGTGTGGGGAAAGTGGGAATGTGGTGGACACGCTGGTACAGTGCAGGGTACAGTGGTGGTGGGGACAGCGGTGAGGGCGGCGGCGAGGACGGCGGTGGGACAATGGGGCAGAAGTACAGTGGGGACAGAGGTGGGGACAGTGGGACAGTGGTGGGAACAGTGGGACAGCTCACTGGGACAGCGGCGGGGACAGAGGGACAGTGGGGACAGTGGGACAGTGGTTGGGGCCGTGGAGAAAGTGGGGGGAGTGGAACCGTGGTGGGAACAGTGGCGGGGACAGTGGGGACAGTGCGACAGTGGTGGGGGCACTGGTGGGGACGGTGGTGGGAACAGTGGGGACAGTGGTGGTGAGGACAGTGGTGCTGGGGACAGCACCGCGCGCGACGGGCCAATCATGCTCGCAGGGCCGCCGTGCTGAAGTTTCGCCATCTGCGAGCGGGGCGCGAGCGTCGCGGCCCAGGGCCGCGCGCCGCTCGACTGCGGCTCGCACTCCCGTTGATTATTGGGACAGATCGGGCTGCGCGAGTCCATGTGGGGGCCTACCAATGCTAGATTTGCAAAACGCTTCAGTATGCTCTTCTTCCTCAGTGCCGAGACCGACTCGTCGCTGGTTTGCGCGTCCTCCCTGGAGTTCATGGGGCGTCTGGCAGAGGTCTGTAGCCTCCGGGGAGTTTTCAGAGTCTCGGGGGAGGCCTCAGTGCCGCCGCGTCTGAGAGGCCCCTGGGGTGGCTTCGAAATTGTCGCAAGAGGCCGCGCGTCTTCGGGCGCCGGGGGCCTCTCTTGCGCAGGGGCGGGTGGGGCCCAGAGCACCCCGTGGCGGGGGCCGGGCGGGGGCCGGGCGGGGGCCCCGGGCGTCGGCGAGCGGCCGCCAACGCCTCATCTTGTTCCCGGCGCCCCCCAGCCTCGGCCTTGGCGCCCCTCCCAGGCTCTCGCGCGATCGCCGCGGATGGACGGGCCGCTGCGCGGAGCCGAACGACGGGCGCCGCAAACCCGACGGATTCGCGAGCAGCGCGCCGCCCGCCTCGCCGCGCGCTGCGGAGAGCTTCTCGCAGAGTCCCAACGCAGAAATCATTGTTCAGCGACGCGGGCATCAGTCGCAACGCCGCCGAGGCAACGCGGTCGGCGCAGTTCTGGGCTTCGTCGACCCTGGCTCCCGGAGGCGGCGCCAAGCCAGCCATGCGTTGCTACTGCGCCCGCGGGATGGCCGCGGCGCTCCGTGACTGGGCGCGCCAGATCCACGCCCGCCACGGGTTCTACGTTGTCTCGGGCGGACGCAGGCGGCGGCCCGCCAGCGACCGCCGAGGGCTGCGAGATGACGGCGCGGCAGTTCGAGGCATCCTCGGCGACAGGGGGGGCGTCCGAAGCGCGCCGTGCGGAAGCGGCCCTGGCGCGAGATTGCGTCAACAGACAAGCTGCGCGTTGCCGTCGTGGCGGCTTTGAAGTGCAAGGAGATCACCCGCGCACGAATCGGATGAGAATGAAGAAGCCTTCGCGCGCCAATTCACTCGAGAACGAGGAAGAGAAAATGGACGAAAACAAAAGTAAGGGAAGGAACAAACATAACAATACAAACACGATGATGGCGACATCGGCCACCAGAAACGATTTCTGTCGTGATCGGCCTACCTCCCTCAGTGTGCCTGCACCGTTCACTTATCGGACCAAGGTGCATGGCGCGAAGCGCCTATGCAGACTTGTGTGAACATATGTGTGTATATATAGGTATATGTATATTTGTATGTATATGTATGTGTATATGTATGTGTGTGTCCTAATGCTCTGGGCTTTTGAATGTCTTCGCTTTGCCCAGGCGCCCGCGTCTCTGATCGCAAAGCGCGGAGGGGTCAGAGAGTTGCGAGCAACGTTGACCAGAGGGACTGGAGGCAGAGGGAGAGAGAGAGAGAGAGACAGAGACAGAGAGTAGTTGCGACCATCGCTAGATGTATCATTGAAAGATGGATGGCGGGGTCAAAGTGAGAGGGTATATGATATATATGAATATATATATACACACACGTATAGGTCCATTGTCGCGGCAACCAGGGTGTGTCCGTTTGGCCGAAGATGACGGCGCTACTCGAAGGCGCAATTGCCCAACCAGACGGGGCTGACGCCAATGCGCTTGAAGACGCTATCCCACTTGAAGACGCATGTGCGCCTGAAGACGGACAGGCGCTTGAAAACGTTATCCTTGGCGAAGACGCTATTCGGATTGGGGTCGATGCCCGTGAGTTCCTGCGCAGGTGGTGCCTGGGCGCAGACGCACTTCGCTTCGAGAGCGCGAGTCATTGCGAAGACAGAATTCCTGGGGATGACATTATCTGCGAAGACGCTATTCCTAGCGAAGATGCTTTTTCTCCGAAGACGCTATTCCGGGAAAGAGCACTATCCCCTCTGAAGGCGCAATTCCCGGCGAAGACGCTTTCCCGGTGAAAACGTCATTCCCGGCGAGCGCGCTATTTCTGGTGAAGACTCCACTCCTGGCGAATACGCTTTTCACGGTGAAGACGCTACTCCCGGCGAAGACGCTATTTCCGGTGAAGGCGCTAGTCCCCCCAAAGATGCGATTCCTGGTGAAGGTGATATTCCCCCCGAACGCGGTATTTCCAGTAAAGACGTTATTCCCCCCGAAGATGTTTTTCCCCGCAAAGACGCTATCCCCAGGAAGAGCCATCTTCCCCGAAGACGCTATTCCTTCCGAAAACGCTATTGCTTCAGAAGACGCGACTTCTTCCGAAGACGCTGTTCCCTTCGAAGACGGCTTGCTCAGCGAAAACGCGATTCCCGACGAGGGCCCCACGCTTGCCATTGCGTCGCCCCGCACCGCATGCATTACACCTCACATCCAGCGTTAAGTCGGGCCTGTCCCTCTACAGGGGGAAGATCAAAAAATAATCAGAAAATAGTATGGAGACTATTTGTTGTGTATTTTTGATTATTTTGGAGCATTGTTTGCGTATTGTTTTTTTTCGTCGAAAATCTCCCTGTAGGGGGACACGCCCGACTTAAATTTAGCGCCACAGGGCCAGCACCTCGTAGCTTGCGCCCCGTGGATCTTAACACCGCACAGCGCAGCCTGCGCCGGCGCACCAATATTTACACCGCATGGTTTGCTTACTCGAAGGGCTCCCTCCCCGAGCCTATTCCACAAGCCAAAGTAGATTGACGTATGAGACCGTTTGTCGCGGAGGCTTCAACTTCCAGAATTTAGCGACTCGATTCCGTGACGGAGGTTCTCAGAATCATTGAGGAAGGTGCATTGTTTCATCATCCTTGTTATATGTTGCATCATCTCTGTTTTTTGATTCCGACATCACGTCTCGGCGCACGCAACCGTCATCTCTCATCACCGAATTTCAGTTCATCTCACCCTGCGCACCCTCATCCTCTTCTTCTTCTTCGCACTCACTCTTGCGATTCACTCGCACGCAGACTTGCCCTTTGAGGCCTACGAGCCCTATGAGGCCTACGAGCCGGCGTATGAGCCTTATTCGCCCGATGAGCTCTGTAGGCTCCATGAGCTCTGTGAGACCGACAAGCCCGATGAACCAACCTTTTGAGCCCACGAGCCCCGTGAGCCCTCGGAGCCCTATGGGCCTCATGAGCCCGATGAGCCGGATGGGCCCTGTAAGCTTGGTGTCGCCCCATGAGTCTCACGAGCCTCATGAGCCTCGTGGGGTCTACGACCTTCACGAGCCTTATGAGCCCTAGAAGCCCTGTCCGCCGTATGAGGCCAATGGGCCCTGTATGCCCCATCGGCCCTACAAGCCCTACGAGCCCTACGGGCCCGAATTATGAGCCCAATGAACACCGCGAGCCCCACGCACCCTAGGAGCCCCATGAGCTCTACAATCTGTTTGAGACCTTTGACCCCGATGAGCCCTATCAGTTCTATGGTCCCTATGAGCCTTACAAGCCCGATGAGCCATGTGAGCCTTCTGAGCCCAATGAGCCTGAAAAGCCCTATGAGCCCAATGAGCCGCATGAGCCCAGCGAGCCCCCCGAGCCATACGAGCCCTATAAGCCCTGCGAGCCCTGCGAGCCCGAGGAGCCCTACGCGCCCTGCGAGCCCTGCGAGCCTTCTGAGCCCGACGACCTCTTATGCGCCCCATGAGCCCTATGAGCCCCACGGGCCTCACGCACCCTAGGAGCCCTATGGGCCCTATGAACCCTACGATGCGTATGAACCCGATGAGCCCTGTGAGCTCTGTGCGCCCTATGAGCCCTGGGAGCCCCGTGAGCCCTCCGAGCTCTCTGAGCTGTATGAGCAGTCTGAGCCCGATGAACCCTATGAACCCTACGAGCCGTACGAGGCGCCTGAGCCCTACGAGCTTTATGAGCCCTGTGAGCCCCATGAGCCCCATGAGCCAGAAGAACCCTATAGGCTCCATGAGCCCTGTGCGCCCGACGAGCCCTATGAAGCCTCTGAGCCCATGGGCCCCATGAGCCATTTGAGCCTTACGAGCCATGTGGGCCCCACGAGCCCTCGGAGATCTGAGCCCCTCCCTGGGGCCGAGCTTTCATCCCCGGCCGTGTCTTGACGGTCCCCGGGGCCCAGTTGGGGGCCCCGGGGGCAATTTTGTGCCTTCGCAGCCACGGGGTGGTCGATCTTAGTCGGGCTGCCCAGGTCTGCGACACCCCGCTCGCCGCCTACTCGCACTTTGCGCCCGCGCCCCCGGGCAGAACCTGGGACGGCGACGCGCTTGTGCAGACGATCCTGGGCGCTAGGACACCCAGAGGGAGGGGGCGGGGGGGGGATCTCCACAGGCCTCCAGGCGAGTGGGGGGGAGGAGAGGAGAGGAGAGAGAGAGGAGAGGAGAGGAGGGGAGGAGGAGGTGGAGGAGGAGGAGGAGGAGGAAGAGGAGGAGGAGGAGGAGTGTCGAACAAGAGAAACGGCATCTACGTGTAGATGTGGGAGGCCCGCGTGGACTGCTGGGATCTACGTCTGGCCCCACTGGCGGCGCCTCTTGCGCCGCCCCTAGCACGCTCCGAGCGCCAGGGAGGGGGCCCTAACGCGGATCCAACAAATCTGCGCAGACCTCCGACAGTTCATGTTGATGTTGCCTACATCTCTTCCCGTAGAGGAGGAGGAGAAGGAGGAGGAGGACGACGACGACGACGGCGAGGACGACGAGGACGACGAGGACGACGACAAAGACGGGGACGAGGACGAGGAGGACTAGGACGAGGAGGAGGAGGAGGAGGAGGAGGAGGAGAATGAGGAGGAGAAGAAGGAGGAGGAGGGAGAGGGGGAAGGACAAGCTAAGCGCGCTCGTGACATCCCTTCCCGTTGTGATGGGCCGACCCTTTTCTGTCCGCCGGCTGGGGCATTCTAGAAGACCTTGATCCCCAAACGACCCAATGGTGTGATGCGCAACCAGAACTCCTACCTCGTACATAGGAAGAGGAGGAAGAGGATGAGGAGGAGGAGGAGGAGGAGGAGGAGGAGGAGGAGGAGGAGCGGGAGCAGGATCAGGAGAAAGGAATTGCCGATGAGGACGGAGGAGCGTTTCCCCCACCGTTCTGCGGTGCTTGGTCTTCGATTCGAACCAGCAGTGCCCCGCATCCCTCCTCACCTCCTCCTCCCCCCCATCCACAACATTATCAGCACCAGCATAATCCTCATCTTCATCAGCCTCATCGCCATCCTCAAGAGCATGAACGTCGTCAGCATCATCAGCATCATCGTCAGCAGCATCAGCATCAGCACTATCACCATCATCTGCCACATGTCGTCACGCCCCCTACACGTTTCGTGGCCCCAGAGGGCGCTCCACCGAAGGCCCCAGTGGCCGCGTTCACGTGGCCCCTACCGCATATTTCGGCACACTCCTCACACGCCAGACCAAGGACTCTTATACCCAACCCTCAGAGCCAATGAGCTCCGCCTAAGGCCGCAGTGGCTACGTTCACATGCGTTCCCGCCACAAATGTCGTCACACCCCTCACGCCCCTTACACAGCTCAATTCTTGACTCTTCGCATCTACCCACCAGCCCATCCAGAAACTATCGCCAGGCGAGTTGCTCGAATCAGGGCAGTGTTGAAGCACGCAGTGTAACGGGCAACCGTGGAAGCGTATCAGGGGCGGAAAACGGTGGGAACATGTGTTATATCGTATAACAGATGTTCCCCAGCTGCGCTGTTCCCGGAAAGGGCGTGGGCCCAGGGTTCTCTTTTAGTAGGTAAACCTGTCCCCCGGTGCCAACTTGAGGGAGGCCGGCGAATTTTTTCCCTGATAAATAACGAGGTCGAAGGAGGCCGGCGAATTAAAATTTGAGGATGTCTCGAGCGAAACGCTTGTTTTTGAAATCCCGATCGATAAATCACAGGGTGCGGGCCACTTTTTCGTGTGTTGAGGATGTCTCGAGCGAAACGCTTGCTCCGCAGAGTTTGCCGAGGATGTCTCGAGCGAAACGCTTGTTTTGCAGAGCCGACCGCGACGCGGAAAAGCGCCCCGCGCGAAGGAATTTCGATGATGTTTCGACTAATTTGTTTGTTTTTGTACGATTCCCTGGAATTTTGGCAGGATGTCTCGAGCGAAATGCACGACCCCACCCTAGCACGACCATACCCCAGCACGACCACACCCCAGCACGACCAGACCCCAGCACGACCCCACCCCAGCACGACCCCACCACAGCACGACCATACCCCAGCACGACCACACCCCAGCACGACCCGACCCCAGCACGACCCTACCCCAGCAAGACCACACCCCAGCACGACCACACCCCAGCACGACCACACCACAACACGACCACGCCCCAGCACGACCACGCCCCAGCACGACCACGCCCCAGCACGACCACGCCCCAGCACGACAACGCCCCAGCACGACCACCCCCCAGCACGACCACACCCCCAGCACGACTACCCCCCACCACGACCACCCCCCAGCACGACTACGCCCCAGCACGACCACACCCCAGGCACGACCAACCCAGCACGACCAACACCCAGTCGCACCCCGTGGAATGTTTCCGCATGTTTCGTGGCGTTCTGGTTGACTGTGGTTGCCTTGGTTATTGGGTGTTCTCGGGAATGTTTTAAAGGGTGTCTCGTGGACTGTTTCGTGAGGTGTCTCGTGGGAAATGTTCGTGAGGTGTCTGCTGGGTGTGTTTCGCGGGTGGCACGACCACGCCCCAGCACGACCACGCCCCAGCACGACCACCCCCAGCACGACCACCCCCCCAGCACGACCACCCCCCAGCACGACCACCCCCCAGCACGACCACACCCCAGCACGACCACACCCCAGCACGACCACACCCCAGCACGACCACACCCCAGCACGACCACACCCAGTCGCACCCCCGTGGAATGTTTCGTGGCGTGTCTGGTTGAGTGGTTGCCTGTTCGTGGGGTGTCTCGTGGAATGTTTCAAAGGGTGTATCGTGGAATGTTTCGTGAGGTGTCTCGTGGAATGTTTCGTGAGGTGTCTCGTGGGATGTTTCGCGGGGTGTCTCGTGGGATGTTTCGTGAGATGTCGCCCAGTTGGGTATCGTGAAAACGTGACCATGCTGCACATGTCTTTATCCCTTTCCGGGTTCGTGGGTCCATCATGTTTTTGATAGGGCTCCATTTGGGGGCGTTCTTAGATGTCTCTTGGGACCTTCTCGGGGCGGGGAGACTATCTTTTGCAACAGAAGGCAGCAGAAGGAGGTGGAACAAGTATGGGAGGAGTATAGTGAGGAGGCTGAGGAGGAGAAAACATAGAAGACTGAGACACAGGCATGCTGACGTGATAAAACTCGTGTCTGAGCACGCATCAAAGATCGGGAACCTATGTTGACTCATGCAACATCAGTTCCCATGCCGTGGCGCCTATGTGGGGCCGCGTTGGATCTTCGGTTGTGGGCAGTCCAGAGGGGCCTCCTAACGCCTTCCTTTTGAGAGTAGAAGGGGGAAGAAGAGGAAGCGGAGGAAGATGAGGAGGAGGAGGAGGAAGAGGAGGAGGAGGAGGAGAAGGTTATGACGGAGCTGGAGGAGCTTGATGAGCAGGAAGGGGAGTAGGAGGAGAAGGAGGAGCAGGAGGAGGAGGTGGAAGAGGATCCTCGAGGAGGAGGAGGAGGAGGAGCAGGAGGAGGAGGAGGAGGAGGAGGAGGAAGAGGATCCTCGAGGTGGAGGAGGAGGAGGAGGAGGAGGAGGAGAAGGAGGAGGAGGAGGAGGAGGAGGAGGAGGAGGAGGAGGAGGGGGACGAACAGGAAGAAGGGGGCACGAAGAGGCTCCATAACCAGCAAGAGAGTGGCCCACTCTTTGCAGGGCCTTTGCAGGGTCATTGGGGGGGGCGCACCGAGCAGCGTGGGAGTCTTGGAGGCCTCTTAGGGGCGATCTTGGCTTCCATGGCTCAAAGAGAGTTCGCTCGTGCCGTAGGCTGTGGCAGCCCATGGGCGTGCCGACTGGCAGACTGGCATGTCAATTATCAAAGCAAGCATGCCGCACTCTGTGGCGCCACATGGAGGCGTCACTCACTGCATCACGGAGCGTCACTCACCGGAGGCGGCCCAAAGGTCTTCACTTCAGGTCTCCCCCTTCGGAAGCCCGATCGTGCCGTCTTGGAGCCCTCGCGGGCCGCTTTGGGAGCCCTGTTGAGGCCGTCATGGGGCCCCCTTGGGCCCGCCATGCAGGGCAGGCCCAAGACGGCACCAAACACCCCTGGGGCAGGGGGCGACAGCAAAGGCGCGGCCCGCGCGCGCTCTGCCAGCTACCCGCCTCTGCCGCGGACCAGATCCCACGGCGGCAGGCCCCCCCACGGAAGCGACCGCAGCGCAGCCCAGCAGCGCGCTCCCCACGGGGAGCGCCAGCGCCGGCCCGGCAGTCTCCCTCGCAGACGCACCCGTCGGGGGCGGAAACGAGGGGGGTGATGACTAGGGGGGGGTGGATATCATGGCGTGGGCCATGATATTTCCCCAGATTTCATGGCGCCCCTTCTTATTTCATTACGTCCCTGGCCCCCCGCTGGGCCGCGCACATGCCGCCGGTCATGATTTGCACCCCCCCCTCTTGGACACCCCCCTCTTGGCCGCTCCCGAACCCGCAGCGGCCCACGCCACGACAGCAGGTCTCACGCCCGTCCTCCGCCCGGCACCGGACGAGGGGAGCGCCACAGCAGACGGGGCAGCGGCAGCACCTTCAGCGCAGCGCGTGGTGGAGCCCGCTGCCGCCGCTGCTGCCCGGCGGCGCCGCCCCGCCCGTGGGTTTCCTGCAGGCGGGGCGTCCTCCTCCCTGTTTGTTTCTGCCCTCCCCGCTCGCTCCCCCTCCCTCCGCGCGCCGCCATGGCGCTGCCTGCAGCCGCCACGTTGGGGCCCCAGGCTTGGTCTTGCCGCCCGCCGCCTCCGCCGGCCCAGCATTTTGCTGGACGCACCTCATCCGCGCCCCCACCGGGAGAACGCGCAACCACCGCCTGGCGACCCAGGCCCCTGACTGCATCGCACACATTTGACCCGCTGGACCCGTTCTGGCACCTGCATAGCCTCGCCGCCGCTGGAACCCTGGCTCAACAGCCGCTGCTGTCCCCGCCAGCGGGGCCAGCCGCGACACTCGCTCTGGGCGTGAAACGCCCCCCTGCGCGGCCCTCGCCTTTCCCCCCAATTCGGCCGCCCGCCACCCCCGTTTCCCTGTTCTCTTGCATTGCGACACAATTCGGTACAACGGTGTCCCCGCTGCGTTAGCTCTTCCGCCAACGCACAACGCAGTGATTCTGCCTAGCCGCCGACGGGAAAAAAT